AGTAATAAAGTAACCAGCAATGAATTTTACTGAAGTTTCTAAAATAATATACTTCTGTGGAGAAACATACCCTTTACATCAAAAGCACCCTGTGAGAGAAAGCTATGGGTGCTGGATTAGTAAAGTATGGAAATTCTGACATTTTCAGAGGCTGCTGCTGTGATAGTGATGCACACTGCCTTCACTGCCACTGGGCAGGATCAAGGGAGCTTGACCCAAACAGGCTGGGAGCTGAACACATTGCTGGTGGTCATTATAAAGATGATGAATACATACAAGTTCATAGAAAATGGCAAACTGGTTCAAGCTAACCAGTCTCTGAACACATCAAACCTTAATGTGTACGAGCTACTTCAGCAAAAGACTACCTGAGGCTACAGAGGTTAGAAACCCAACCAAACTGGTCTTAATACTGCTTGACTAAGCATGAAGTGTGTCAGTAGCTCAGTCTGGCGGTGGTGAATGATCTGGCGGAAATCATTTGTTGGCATATGTTAGGCTCCTTAATAGCTATTGAGCAGTATTTTAAAAACACTGCCTGCTGGAATGCTGACCGTGAATGCCTTATATCCACTTATGGCTATTCCAGCAGGATAATGCAAATGTGACCATACATTCTTTGTATTTCAGTTTTTTACATATTTTGCATCTTTGGGATTTAGCTGAAAATGCACAAAATGAATGTACAACCAACACAATTACTGGAACTAGCTCAAGCTCAAAATAACAACCCTTTGGTGACATTATTTCCTTGATACAGTAAGTTTTGTGGTGGAACATTATTTATTTATTATAGCTTATAATCATTCATTTACATAACATTAATTGCTAATGCTAGTCCGTTGGTGAAAAGACATTCAGATACATTTGTATATGACCCTGCAAGCAAGATTGAGTCTTTAATATTTGGGGGCTTTTTCAAATATAACTCACTTTTTAATATATATATTTTATTACGTTTTTTAAGATGTTTTTATTGGATCAAAAATACAGCACAAGTAATATAACTGGCAATTATAGATGGCAATATTACATTTTTAGTAGCCATTACTGCAGTCTTCAGTGTCACATGATTCTTCAGAAATCAATCTAATACGTGGTATATCTAATATACATAATACGTATATATATATGCATAGGTTTATTTTAAGGCCCTTTGTGGGAATCCAGCCATTTTCTAATTTGATTGGACACTGGGAAATTGAGCTTGTTTTCATTCCATTTGGGCGGGTTTTGAGTTGTCATTGGGCTTGAAATATTTCTGGGACCTGGCAACCCTGGTGATTGCTTGTAGATTGCATGTAAAGGACCTATCAGCCACCCTGGAGTTTCATGAATGAACTAGATCTTTATTTCTAAAAATAAAAATAAATGAAAAATCTAACTGTCCCAAAATTGTTGAGTGTTTATGGTAAAAGTGAATTATCTTTTTTTTTTTCTTTTTTTTTTTTTTGGCAAGTGATATTGACAAATTGCCACAAGACTTTAAATGTTGATGTCCAACAATGGAAGCAAGGAAAGTAATTTGCCATATTTGAATACACAGCAAATGTGCTGCATCGCTTGATATCGCTTTCACTTTGAACAGGGCTTCACAACAACTTGAATTAACTTGACACTTGACACTCACTGAAATCTCACTGTTATGCATAAATCGCAGATCATGACAGGGAAGGAACAGTGGGAAATATTCTTATTGAAAATGTAATACTCATACATTCACTCTCCCACACACTCTCTCTGAGATATATAATAAATGTACAGGCAATGGATGTGTTAAAATTGATTGTGAAGACATTCTATCATTCTGATGCTTTCAGTTTGGAGGAGAGGACCACAACAGCCATAAAAGCTGCTAAAAAACCCATAGCTGCACACATTTCTCTCCTGAACCCTGACCGCTGTCTCACCTGGACTCAACACCTTTCCATTTAGCAGAGCCTCTCCTGAACTGAACAATTAGAGTCATTGTCTCTCTCATGACAAAGATGGGTGACAACTTTGCAGATTGCAGAAACCTTGCGAGAAAAATGGTCTCCTGCATGATGTAAAGTTTCCTAAAAATTGCTTGAGATCCAACTGATCGTACATAAACCATGATATGCTTAGACCTTTTACTGCATGTGTAATTATTCATAACAGACACACCTGTACCAAATCACTTTAGATCCAGCTGCTCATGAATTAATCATCCTGGATTTTTCTGCACTGTGGCTTTTACAGTATGTGCAACATTTTCAATCCAGTCACACTTGCATTTGTGTTCAAGAGACTCAGGCACAACACCCCCCGTATCATGGTCATGTTTTAGTATACATCCCAGGGCACACCACACTGCCTAAAATGCTGATTTGAAACACAAAACAGGTGGAAAGCAAGCTCGAGGACTCATGCTGCGCTGGTTTTGATGGTGTGTGAATTCCATTGTGTTTGAAGTAGCTTATATTAAACCGCAAACAGACAGTGAAATGGAAAAATAGTGTGCCGTATTGATTTAAGCTCATGAAAGCAGGAGGAGCTAAAAGTGCATCGTTTTTTAAGCAATTGAAGAGCTATTGTTGAGCACATTATAACATCAGTGCTGTATTTCCTCTGATACATGATACATGTCTCTTTATTAATGTCAGAAACAAATATTTTAAAGAAATGAAAGGAAAGTTAAAGGTTGATGAATATACTATACTATACTATAAAGCTCAGATTTAGTCATTTAATTTGATCAATTAAATGCAAAATTTCTGCCACTGAAAATGTTCAACCAAAAAATACCACAAAATGCCATTTTTACTGTTCAGATGGAAGAAAACATACCAGGCATTTTAAAGAGGTAAGCATTACTTTGACATCCAATATTAGTCATTGCCATGGAGAAAAAGCAGTGAGCACATAAAATGATCCAATTTTAATTCATGTTTAATGCAAAAAAACCAGCTCTCTGTATGTGATGTGAGAGAGTCTTGTGGAGATATGCAGTCATGCACAAACTCAAGAGCAAATTGAGTTTTGTATTTGAATTGTCTTGTTGTACATTCAAATTTAATTGTCATATTAATACTGTTTCTCACATGCTTGCACAGACTGCACAGGTATGTATTTGCACAATTCCCCAATAAGCACTAATATACTGTATATATATATATATATATATATATATATATATATATATATATATATACAGTATATATTACATAATATATGATAAGGTCATAAGTTCGATTCCTGCATGACCTGATCTGCCAAAGTCATGAATGTATAGCATACAATATTTTAAGTTGTTGGAGGCTAGATGATATTTCATAGAGACAAACCTAGTGTAATCAGTAAAAGTCAGAATTAATTAAAGTCAAAAGGAAAAGTAGAAAGCCTTAAATTTATTGTAAGGTTATTACAAATGAGTATTTACAAAAAACATATGAAAATATATTACGCTGTCCTTGTTGTGGTCAGCGGTCTAGAAACAAGGATCTAAAGCCCCAAGAATTCATGGTTAATTATGTTTTGACACAAATGATTGTTATTCTAAATGAGATAATTAGAACAAATTCTCTTCTACAGTCACACCAAAATAATAATAAAAATCACAATTAATCTTACTGCCTCACACAGTGGGACAATAAATACTTGAAGCAATTAATGAAGCACAGAGCAAACAAACACACACACACACGCTGCAAAATAACAGGTTCATCAATTTTGAGGTTTTCCCACTTAATCATAATAAAGCTAAATCCAAAACACTTATTTCATGCATAAATACAGTCCTTAAGCATAGAAATCTCAGACAGGATTATTGCATCAGCTGTTATTCACTACTAGCCTGACTTCGTCATACTCATATTCTATTCAGAATGTGATTATGATACTGCTCCATAGGGCTTTGATTATGAGGCGTGTCTTAATCGAACCAGGAAGAAAAAAAAAACCCTCTGCATAGTTGTCAACAGAACTGAACTGCATGCACTCTGGGAAAAAGTATTTAAAAGAAAAATTAGTGTTAATGACCTTACTTGCAAACTCGTTAATGAAGAGTATACTCGAAAAACATTTTTGAACGAAATAGAAAATGTGAATGTCTATACAAACAAGTTCTCTGTTTAGGATTACACTGTTAAAAATTTTCCCGTTAAAAAACAGTAAAGAACTGGCAGCACGGTTGCCAGCAAGTTACTGTTAAATTAACAGGTTTTTACTGTTAGTGAAATTTACAGTTCACTACCGTTTATTAAAAAACAGTAATTAACTGGCAGCACGGTTGCCAGCAAGATACTGTTAAATTAACGGTGTCTTACTGTTGGTTAAATTTACAGTTGTTACTGCTTTTGGAAATGCATAAAGCAGTTTCTACATGTTACAGCAATATCCTGAAAAAAGCATGGGCACTTAATTGTTCTTCATATTGAAATTAGTGTAAACTACACAAATATACAATATGGTATTGTGTAATGTACTGAATAATGGACAGTTAGCAAAAAGGACAACTTTTCCCCCTGTGTTTTTAAAGATTATTTTCTGAACCTTGTGATTTAATACATTTCCCTGTTGCAGTCTTGCTATAAAATACCAAAAGTGAATAAATTTAAAAGTGAAATAGTGAATTAAAAATGTAACAGAAGAAAAGCAGCTTTATTGTTTCAAAACATGTCTCTTGTTTATTAAACTTCTGAAACTTCTGAAAATTCAAGGTTTAGAAGTTACAACAAACATAAATAAACAAGATGTTTCCAAAATCAGAATCTGATCTATCCTGTAACTTGAACAAGTCCTTAACAAATGACTAAGTATACTGTCATTTTTTTTTTTTTTTACTCTGGACACAAACAGTGAATTACCTTATTCACCTGATTTTGAGTGTGTGTGTGTGTGTGTGTGTGTGTGTGCGCGCGCGTATATGCGTGTGTGTGTGTGTGTGTGTGTGTGTGGGGGTGTGAGTGTTTGTGTGTGGGTGTGTGTGTAATACTTGTATAAAGTCCCACTCAAAATCCATAAATTTAAGTAGACTGGAGACACGAGGGTTCACTGTTTTGTTTTTCTGGGCGACCTTCCCCGTCCGTTTTGAAATGACTCCTCCAACCTTGGTGCCTTTTTCTGGGTTTATCCCGATGAACCGCCTGAAAAACAAACATGTTTGTTCAGAATTAGTTTACTCACAAAGAACATATAAATTTGCTATAATCTTAACTATTCTTGTTTTAAGATCACTTCCTTTAACTTTGTCAGGAAAGGATAGCTTTCTGAACAATCTTTTGGGGGTGAAGGATGTGATTTAATCTAGAATAAAGATATCTCCTATGCACACCTTATATGCTATTTTAGCAATGTTTAAAACATTTTAACAAAATCATTTGATCATCATTTAGGTGTCAAAGATGAGGCTTCCTTCCAAGGTTTTCACCAACACTTCACCACCACCAAAGCCCTGTTTATTTCCTTGACATAGTCATCTATGGCTACTCACCGTGCTTCAAATAGTTTAAAGGAAAATGTCTTTATTTGATGCTAGATTCCGTTAATTAGGGCCAAATTGTGTTGTATCAATTAAACATGCAACATTGCAACAATGAAAAATTTTATGTAAAGCTGCATTGAAATGATATGCATTATAAAAAGTGCTATATAAATAAAAGTGAAGTGAATTGAATGTATGCATCCAAGTATTTACCTTTGAATAAATTCCAGTGTGCATGCTGCCTCAGCTTGGTATTGAAGATTGAAGTTGTAAAAAGTAGAAAAAACAGCAGCAAGCCCAGACAGAAAACCGTCTGGATGCCCTCACAAATAATATGACCCTCAAGGCTGATCATCCAGTGCTGAATACAGTTTCCTGGTGTTTCACCTGAAACTTTAAAATGAAAAACTGTCAGCATCGGCATAAAAACATGAATCTACCACCACCGTATTGTAAATGAAATCATTGACAGAGCCATTTTTATTACATTTTCAACGTGTTGATCATGGACTTATCTGGGCAAACATTTAAAATGTGTATTGTGAAATTATGTTCTCAACATTGTTAATGGGTTAGTTCAACCATAAAAAGAAAATCCTGTCATGAATTACTCACCCTTATGTTCCAAACCCATAAAACTTTAATTTATCTTTAGACAAAGATATTTCTAAAATTGTTTAATAATTGTTGTCCATCAATTAAAAGTCCATGTTAAACATAAACTCAACAGAAACAACACTGGGCAAGAAGATGATATAATTAGTGTGTGTTGTGTGTGTGTGTGTGTGTGTGTGTGTGTGTGTGTGTGTGTGTGTGTGTGTGTGTGTGTGTGTGTGTGTGTGTGTGTGTGTGTGTGTGTGTGTAAACTATCCTTTTAAGTGTTGAAAATAAGTAAATTAATATAAAAATTGAAAATTAAGCAAATAATTACTCACCCTGGTTGTTCAAGGCCATATGTTCTTTTTCAGATCACAAATTAAAGAAAAATTGACTACACATGTAATCTGAAATCTGGTTTCTGACAATTGAAATCAGAAAATGATTCTATGTGACTCGTGTCATATATTCCAACTGTTCTGGGGGTATACAAACCGAAATGTACTGTAAATTTACACGACACGAGACTCTATAGCACCACATTTCACTCCAAATCATGCTCTGCAGCATGATAACACTGCAGCAGCAATAACTAACGTTTAAATATGAATTAGTTAATAAATATAATAAAGTAACACTGCAGCGGCAACAACAAAACTTTAAATGTGAATTAGTGTTAATAAATTTTAAATTACGTGTTGGGCAAAATAACACTGCAGCAGCAACAGTGAAACATGAATTAGTCTTAATGATTATTAAAAATTAGGCTACGTGCTGGACAAAGTAACACTGCAGCAGCAATAACTAAACTTTAAATATTAATTAGTCTTAAAGATTATTCTAAATTTCGTGCTGGACAAAGTAACAATACAGCTTAACTTTAATATGAATTATTCTTAATGCTTATTCTATCACGTATACTTATATCAAAACCTGGATCTATGCAAAAATAAAGCCACCATTAAAGTAGGCCTAACAATACAATCACTTGTACAACAAATAAATCACCCTGAGATGTACAGATTAGGCCTACAACAAGTCTATCCCCATTTAAAAGCACAAAAAGCCCGAAATTTAGGTTTTGTGCAACGGTTTTCCGAATAATGAAAAATCAAGCTGCAACACTTTAGCGCGCTAAGACGACGATGTAATTCACATGCAACAATGTTTTTACTTATAGCTTTGCATAAACTTTGCAGAAAAATTGATTTTGGATGAAACTCACCCTGTAATCGGGAATTATCCTTGTGAGGAATCCAACTTCCCTCACGATGTCGCAGTTGGTGCTTTTATCACTGCGAATACAAAAATAGTTAGGCTACTTCCAATATCCAAAATACAAGTTAGTAACAATTGCAGATGTAATGCATTGTTCTATCACAACGAGCAAAACAAAAGGGAACTCACCTATTATAAGTATGAAGATGGATGAAAAATCCATGCGTGCTCACTGCAGCTCTTCCGATGTCAAGTCAAAAATACTGTTAAGTACCGTTTTGTTTCCCTCGAGCAATAATTACGTTAAAATGCCGTTATAATTTTTCTACGTCATATTACAAACGCAAAAAAACAGCAATGTACTGCTTTTGAACAAAACAGGAATATACTGTTGAAATTTAGCCGTAAATTTACAGCAATTTCTAACAGTGTAGATCTCAACAATAAAGCCAACAAATCTGCTGGCATTTGTCGGCCCTGTCTCAACTTTATAACACGGGTGGAGCGCGACATGACTGATGACTGACGAAAGAGACCAGGTTGAAGAAGCGTGTTCATTTGAGTCTTCAAAGAAAAGAGGCCGGTTTTAATTATGCATTTAATGATGATTTAAATACAAAAGGACGAGTAGTATCATCAAATAATTTATTTAAAAAAATACACTGCTTATAAGGGGTACAGTGACTACCAGTACGGGTATGGTGTGCGAGTAGTTTAACAAAGCGTCACCATTGTTTGATGCAGCGATGGCTTTGAAATGAGTTGTATCGCAGTGTTGCCCATTTCGGTTGCTTGATTTACTTGGTCTTCCATGAGTGCAACCAAAAGAGAAACCACAATGACAACTGGGTTTTCATTGCGTCCCATCTTCTTAGCGATCATTGGAGCCATACTGATGCAAACACATCTTTCCGATCGACAGATGCCTTTATTGCAGTTCTCTGTTCGTCTTTTAAAATGAATGCACTTTCGGTTTCTTCTAAAACAGACGCGATAACGGAATCTATACATCTCAATTCTCCGGCTGCACTCATCTTTGTTGTAAACCAGTTCAAACCCAGTGCTCTTTAATGACGTGATGATTACGTAACTGCAGATCATCAGTCCATCATTGTACAAAGCCCGCCCTGGCAATTTGATTGGCCCGAACATTTTTTTACTGATCAAAATTACTCCTCAATGGATCGAATCCAGATTGAACTTCCCGACCAAAAAATGTTGTGGGCGGAGTTCGGGTTGGAATCCAGGCTGAATTACTTCATATCTGCACGTGAAATTCATTAATGACTTGGAAAGAGGTTTCATCATTAGGTGGCTGTCAGGCTGTAAAATTCCCAGTTTTCTCTCACTGGCCTGGTTTCCTGTCAGTGATCATCTCTCTCTTTGTCTATGTGTGTGTGTGTGTGTGTGTGTGACTCTCTGCCTGTGGGTAGGTTTAAACATTGGTATGCATAGAGAGCAGTGGAGAGTCGTTCTTCTCTTATCTGCTGTGCGGAAAGACGTGAGGCGTAGACGAAAGAGAATTAGGAGAGAAACAGAGTGTGGGAGACCGCAGGCATTACTGAGCTCACATTTGTAATTACAGGCTTTATGCTATTGATTCCATAGTCCAAGTTCACTTTTCCATTCCAGGTCCTCCAGCCAAAATAGATTTCCATAAGCCACACAGACCTTCTAACACTGACCAATCAGTGATGGTCAAGCAAAGGGTCTGAATTTAAGATTCTTGGTGGAAATGTGAAGCTTGTGTCAGTTTCTTTATCTGTCTGTCTGTTGGATACATGTAACAGTATAAACAAGTATTTCATATATGTAAAATTATTTGAAGAAAAAAGAAATGCATTTGCAGTCTCCAGTGTTGCCAAGTCCATGGTTTTCTTGTGGGATTGGGCTACTTTTACACTGTTGCTGCTTCTTCCCTCGAAACACGTTTTTTTTTTTTTTACTGGGACGTGATTGGTCCAGGTTTGATTAGCAATTGGGCTGAGACCAAAAGTATTGTTCTCAATCTTTCTTTCGCCTGCAAAACTGATGTAATGCTTAACCCTGCAGGAACACAGTTATAATGAAGAAAAAAAATACATTATTCAGCAACTGAATGGAGGCAAAGAATTGAAGAGCAAGATAGACAGAGACAGCTAGAGAGCGAGAGAGAGAGAATATACACAGTGATAACTGTATAATAGACCTTGATGTGAAACAAATGGTTCAGAGCTTAGGTTAATTCATCTGAACTTAGTTTGGAAATGGATGATAGTCTAGGGAGCATTAGTATTACATATGAATGCTTTTGTATTGGCCTGCCATCCATCTGAGATGAGGTCTGCTCTGTATTATATAAAACAAGTGGAGGTAATAAGGAAATGTCTGGCAAGACCTTTGTCAAAACCCAGTCTCTATAATAAACAAATTGCAGCCATCTGTTGTCAAACTTGGCTTGATGTTGGGCTGATTGGAGATATACTGTATGTGCTCCTTTGTGTTCATATTACTTAAGAAAAAAGCTAAATCCTCTCTGAAGCTGCACTTAAACTCAATGTTCTTTCATATGATGATAAATCTTTGTCGAAATGCCAAACTGTTAAAAGTCGTAAACATAATGACATGAATCATTCATCATAGGGGACACGGTGAATTGAATTTTATCTGGAATGGTGAATTTTATCTGGAATGGTGGTCCAGGTTCATGTCAGAAATATGAAGATGTATAAGTTCTGTTAGGACCACTTTCGTCAAATGCGACTGACAATTAGCATATACAGTTAGGATTGGCGGTATGGTTCTGTGGGCAAGAACTCCTTGCATAGACCTAGCATAGGACCTTGCATAGACCTAGTATAGAGCAGGGAGAGCAATGATAACCTCCCTTAGGGTGAACAGAACCAACATATATTGCAGATAGCATTGATTCAAGATTTTAAAGTACAACATAATTTGAGAATTTATTCTGATTAAAAGGGCACGCAGAAAGCCAAATACTGACTGCACAAAAGGAGGAGCTGGGGATGGAGGAGGGTATTCAGTTCCTGAGAAACATGATAGCTGCTGATAATACTGAAGGAGCTTATATATGTACACGTCGATAGGCATCGTATTCCTTTACAGTAGGTAGACGTGGATCAGCTGAGATTCACTGACGTGACCTGCCCGAACTGACGCTATGCTTATTTTATTTACAAATTTTAGGTGGGAATTACTTACACATTTACAGCACCAGAGCCACTTATGAGTTGAACACAAAACAAACCTAAACAGAATAACCTGCATAGACCAAAAAAGACTCACAAGACATTGTTCAAAATACTCACAAACTAATGATTTACCAGTTTGAACAAGTTCATCATGAATCCTCCAATAAATAAACTCACCAAATCCATCATAGCATCTACAGCATCAACATAACTCACCTACTGAACTGCATACAGTATATTATAATAATAACCATTAGGCTACTATTGCTATGCCACCAAGAAAGCAGAAATATACTTTTCCTCATTAAAGGAGCATTTCACCCATTTCAACATTAATCTTTATTGAAAGTGGATCATATATGCAGCGAGAGCACGGGCACCAGCAGTCCGCCCAGCTCGAGCCAGTCCAGGCTCCTTGGCCACGGCAGGCAGCCGTCTCCGGTTCCTCCATCAGCTTCAGCTGCTCTTCACTATGCGACTCGTAAAGACAGCCACGAACATCGGATTCGAGCACCATAATTTCAAAATCCTCTTCTTCCATATCATGTTTAGTTTCTTCCGTCATTCTCATACTTCCTATCTCCACAGCACTTGTTAGCTTAGCTTCCAAACAAGATTGCTGATATTGATTTCAGTTTCTGCAAGTGAAGTCCCACCCACTGATCTGTAGTAAGTCTGTAGCATGAGTGGGTCCCACACCCTTGAATAATGAGGAGTTAAGTTTGCTCTACACTTTTCAATTAAATGTGACTTCCTGCTTATTATGACGCAAGACGGTGATTTTTACGTCATAATAAGCAGGAAGTAGAACACTTAAATCCTTATTTCTCCCATCTGAGGGGAAAATAAGGGAATAAACCATGACCATTCAAAAATATGACTGGGTTTCTAAAGATACAAAGCTTAATGCAAATGGGTGAAGTGTCCCTTTAAGTATTTGATTTCTGTATATAGCTCACATTCATGTATTTGTGCATGTTTTTATTAATTGTTATTGCTTACCTAAGACAACTAAATTGATAGGCTACCCAAATGTAACTACTACCTGAAAAAGAGCACAAATGCATTTTTTCTCACAGTACACTTAAATTATTTGTCAGTACTCAAAAAGCTATTGAACAAACACTGCATTGCAGACTGTAAACAAGTTTCAGATTAATCTTTATAATCTACAAGAAAATATAAAGTATTATTTTGGGGTACATTGAGTTCATAATCTAATGAATTTACTGAAACATTAGCTCTGTTTCAAAACCTATTGAGCTGCTTCACTGCCTATATAGGCAGCTGTCTTCTATGACACAATCTTAACTGAAATGGAACCTATTAGTTATTGATTTGAAACGCTCTACATAATCATGAACTCAGTGCGCAATACAAAAAACACTCACACTCCTCACAGGAAGTGAAGGAGAGACTCAACTCGCAGCAGAATTCAATACATGTGTGAGGAACAATGTAATATTTCAACATAACACTCAGTTTAAATGGGAAAAGGTTAGTTTTAAATGTAAAAAAAAATCTATTGGTAGTACATTTATCTACCTTCTAGTGTGTTATGGCATAGCCTTCTCTTGAAAGGAAGCATGAGATGCTTCTAGTATTGAGAATGGATCTATTGTGCATGGAGATGTGATATAACTTTTTTGTTCAGCAGGATGTCGGCATGATCTAAAAGTACTTTTGAATCAGCCTTCATGTCAGGAGTGTGCAAAACAGCCAGTTATGGGAAAAGAGCAAATTTGCACTTAAAGTCCCCCTGTAGTCAACTAGTTTATCCCTTAAAACTCATCTTGATTACCAAAATGACATATTTAAACATTTTTTTCTTTGAAAAAAATCTTAATGC